GCCACCATGCCCAGCTGATTTTTTGTATTTTTAGTAGAGACGGGGTTTCACCATGATGACCAGGATGGTCTCGATCTCTTGACCTCGTGATCCACTCGCCTCGGCCTCCCAAAGTGCTGGGATTACAGGCGTGAGCCATCGCGCCCGGCCAGCATTGTTTTTTTCTATTCATATGTCTTTTTGTAGGTCTAAGGGTAAAGGAATTAATGGGACAAGTTTAGATCAAGTCCACAGAGAATAAGGCTACCAATTTACAGCCGCACCAGAACTGTACAGGATAGATAATTCTACCAAAAGAAAATCAGGTTGTTTTCAGGAGGAAGAATACATGTTGAACAGACATGTGAACCAATAAGTGTCCACCCTAGAGTAGAACACAAGACCAGGTGGTTTGAGTAGGAAGGAAAAGAAACTCATTGAAGACTTTCTGTGTGCTAGGTACTGTAGTATGTCATACTTTCTATCATTTAATTTTCAAAACAACCTTGAAAATCCATTATTTTCTCCTTTTCCAAATGTGAAAACTGAAGCCAGGTTAAGGACATTGCTTAGGTTTATATGGCCAATAAGCATTTGGGCTGGGATTTGCATTTGTGGCTGCAGCTCTGCATTTGTGCTCTTTTGAAATGAGAGACAAGTCAAAGTCAGTAGTGCTGCTAGCCTTTAGGAGGAGCAGGCTAGCTCAGATGTCATAGCAGGAGGCCTGGCGGAGTTATGGGTCCTGCAAAAGGAGAATAAAAGAGAGACAGCAGTGAAAGATCAGCAAACAGGTACCAAGACAGAACTGAGAATAACAGGAAGGATGAAAGCTATAAAAATCTTCCCATAGGCTAGTGATTAGTCTTATTTTACTTTTTTAAAATAAACAAATAATAAAAACAAACACAAGTACGCTGACCTCCAGGTTGGCAGGGCAGGAGATGGGGCAGACGGACAGAAATAAAGGATGAAAAGAGGTATGAAGCAGGAAGGAAGCTGAGTGTTTGAGTTGGTCCAGCGTTTGAATGTCAGTACTTTTTATAAATGGACAGATGCTTCTTTTTCCAATAATTTAGCACTAAAAATGTTTATTGAAGACTTGCTATAGGGACTACAGTGACAAAGAAAAGACTAGTGTAAACTAAGGTTTGTGAAACAGGCAGGGAAACAAGTAGGTCTGGCAGGCCATGGGAAGGAGGCCTGCTGTCATCTTTAAGAACAACTTGGAGCTATTGAAAGATTTCAAAGAGGGGAGTGACATAATCTCATTTATGCTTCATCAAAATTACTCTGGCTATGAGGTAGCAAACAGACTGAATGGAAAAGAATGGCAGCAAGATATCTACTTATTTCTATGGAGTCATTCCTGAGTGAAAGAGAAAGCCTTCCTTAATTGAATTTAGTCCCTATGACTTTAGCCTTTGCAAGTGTTCAGAGGAGAATTGTGCAATGAGCTTTCTGGACCTAGTGCCTGCTATGGTTTGGATGTCTGTCCCCTCTAAACCTTAAGTTGAAATTTGATATTCAAGGTTGGGTCTCCCAGGAGGCGTTTGGGTCATGGGGGCAGATCCTTCATGAATGGATTAATGCCTTTTCTTAGGGGCTCATTTTGTTAGTTCTTTGTTTGTTTTGAGACAGAGTCTCACTTCTTACCCAAGCTGGAGTGCAGTGGTGTGATCCCAGCTCACTGTAACTTCTGCTTCCCAGGTTCAAGCAATTGTCATGCCTAAGACTCTCAAGCATCTGAGATTATAGACAGACATCACCACGCCCAGCTAATTTTTGTGGTTTTAGTAGAGACAGAGTTTCATCATGTTGGTTAGGGTGGTCTTGAACTCCTGACCTCAAGTAATCTGCCTACTTCAGTTTCCCAAAGTGCTGGGACTATAGGTGTGAGCCACTGTGCCTGCCCTCATTCTGTTTGTTTCCACAAGAGCTGGTTGTTAAAAACAGCTTGGTACCTCCCACCCCCTCACTTGCTCCCTGTATTACCATGTGATCTCTGCACACACTGGATCCCTTTCACCTTCCACCATGAGCGGAAGCAGTTTGAAGCCCTCACTAGGTGCTGAATCTTGAACTTTCCAGGCATCAGAATTGTGAGTGAAATCATTACTCAGCCTCAGGCATTTCTTTTTAGCAACACAAAATAGACTAAGATAAATCCCTTCCCTCCCTGTGTTAATACTCTTCTTAATTCCTCATTTCCCATTTACATTGGTGAATAAAGAGCCTCCACTTTCTTTTTTTCTTTTTTGTGGGGCAGCATTTAGTCACCTGACTAGGAAGAGACTTAAACAAATTCAATAACTGACAACATTCTAAAAAGTGATCTTTCCCCTCTAGGAGGGATGTTCACATTTTAAAAGGCGCAATCCATTGAAAAAACAAGAGCATGAATGGTAAATTTTCAGTCTTGAGTTACTGAGGGGGGCTATCAAGGCGTTTGAGGTTGGTGAATTTGAACACTACTCAAATCCATCACCAAGTATGAAATATGTAGGCCTACATTTGGACTCCAGTGAAAGGTTACTTTTGACGTCAAAAAGTATGCCTTCGTATAATTGACAAAACCAAAGGTCTTAAAGGTTAGCACATGGACCAGTCATTAGGCACAGACTGCACAGCAGACACAGGGAATCACCCATCCCACCATCCTCCCGCCACTTTGTTGGAGCTCATTTCAGGACCTGAAACTAAATTTGGCATCAATTTTAAACTCTTCATTGAGGCACCTAACATCTATTTTGGTCATAAATATCCCATTTATGACCTTGACCTTTATGATTCAGGGTACACCTGAGTGTTGCGAATGTTTTTCAGACTTTTTGCTCATGCTTTTTTTTTCTGTGTAAAGAATCATATTATTTAAGTGGTTTGAAATTTTTGGAGGTTTTCCGGGTGTCTTAGTCTGTGTAGACTGCTGTAACAAAATAAACCGAGTGGCTTATAAACAATGGAAATTAATTTCTCCTGGTTTTAGAGGCTGGGAAGTCTAAGATGAAGGTGCCAAGAGAGTGTCTGGTGAGGGCTTTCTGACTTATAGCACCTTCTAGCTATGTCCTCAAACGGTGAAAGGGGCAAAGCAGCTCTCTGAGGCCTTTTATATTTTTTAATATAAATTTTTTTGAATGGAACTATTTCTTTTTTTAAAAATTAATTTTATTATGTACATTTAAGTCATACAATATGATGTTGTAGGATACATATATAGTAAGATGGTTACTACAGGGAGCAGATGAACATATCCATCATCTCACTTAGTTACCCATTTTGCTTTTCTGGGGCCTCTTTTATAAGGGTACTAATTCCATTGATGAGGGTGCTTTTCACCAAAAATCTAAGCACCTCCCAAAGCCTCCAGATCCTAATACCATCACTTTGGGGATTAAGATTCCAACATGTGTATTCTAAGTGAGTAACTCAGGAATGGAAAACTAAACATCATATGTTCTCACTGATATGTAGGAGCCAAACTATGAGGATGCAGAGGCGTAAGACTGATACAATGGACACTGAGGACTTGGGAGGATGAGTGGGAGGGGGCAAGGGATAAAAGACTACAAATTTGGTGCAGTGTACACTGCTGGGTGAGAGGTGCACCAAAATCTCACAAATCACCACTAAAGAACTTGCTTCTGTAACCAAATACCACCTGTACCCTGATGTCCTATGGAAAAATTTTAAAAATAAGCATTGACACATAGAAAAGGTTAAAAACATAGCAAAATAAAAAAGATTTCAACATACGTATTTTGGGAAAACAAAACATTCAGATCATAGCAATGAGTCTAGAGAGGCAATAATGTCTAAGTGTCGGAAAGATAATAACAGGATGCACAGCCCTGGGGTCTAAACAGTGTGAGCCTTCGTGCTGTGCTCTGAGCACTTTTAAATATGTTGTACCCTGTATTTCTCAGAACAGCTCTAAGAAACAGGGGCATTAACATTTCCAAATAATAAATAAGGAAATATAGCTAACTGATTTGAAGGCATTCAGCTCATAAGGGCAGCACACATGAAAGGTAAAGTGCATTGGTTGGAACCTCAAATGGTGCAGCTCTGCTACTTACCGGTTAAGTGACTGATATGGTTTATCTGTGTCCCCACCCAAATCTCATCTTACAGTTCCTGTAATCCCCATGTGTGGTGGGAGGAACCCACTGGGAGGTAATTGCATCGTGGAGGCTGTTTTCCCCATGCCATTCTCGTGATAGTGAGTAAATTCTTCTAAGAGCTGATGGATTTATAAGGGGCTTCCCCCCTCACTCAGTTCTCATTCTTCTCCTTATTGCCACCACGTGAAGAAGGACGTGTTTGCTTCTCCTTTTGCCATGATCGAAAATTTCCTGAGGCCTCTACAGCTCTGCAGAACTGTGAGTCAATTAAACCTCTTTCCTTTATAATTTATCCAGTCTCAGGCAGTTCTTTATAGCAGCATCAGAATGGACTAATACAGTTTCCTTGGCCAAGTTATTGAAACACAGCTTGTTTTTTTGGTTACCTTATATGTGATATAGAAATAATGCCAGTATTTCACATATACACCATAGAATACTATGAAGCCATAAAAAAATGAATTCATGCCCTTTGCAGGGATATGGTTGAACTGGAAACTGTCGTTCTCAGCAAACTAACACAGGAACAGATATCCAAACACCACATATACTAATTCATAAGTGGGAGTTGAACAATGAGAACACATGGACACAGGGAGGGGAACATCACACACTGGGACCTGTCAGGGAGTGGGGGGCAAGGGGAGAGCATTAGGACAAATACCTAATGCATGCAGGGCTTAAAACCTAAATGACAGATTGATAGATGCAGGAAACCACCATGGCATATGTATACCTATATAACAAACCTGCATTTTCTGCACATGTATCCCAGAACTTAAAGTAAAATTAAATAAAAGCAACAAAGCAAGCAAGCAAGCAAGCAAGCAAGAAAGCAAGAGGAAGAAAAAAAAGAAAGAATGCCAGTATTCTCTTGTAGTGTTGTTTTGAGGATTAACTAAAGTGATTGTATTGTCTCCCTGTCTTCTGTAATCTGTTCTTCTACTGTCTGCTGAGCTCCCCAGTGGCCCCACAACTAGAACTTTGGTCCCTACTGAGCCTATCCTCTTTGAGCCATGCCCAAATCTTTAGCATTGCTCACTTCTTCCTTGACATGGGTCAAACTCCAACACTCTCTTCCCTTGTGTCCCTTTCACACAAAGAACATCCATTGAAAAACAATTAAAACAAATTAATCGCAATGTTGAGTAAAGCCCAGGGTGTGTCTCTCTTCTGTTAGTTTGTGACTGGTTTGTTTGTTTTACCATCTCTCTCTGCAACAAGGAAATGCATACATGATGGTAGATGTGCAGACATCATTACTTTTTTCCTAAGGAAGAGTAGGGGCCTTCCTAGTTTCACAGATTACACACAGTAGGTAATCACCAACTCCGTATTTGGGTGAGATTGGCCCATTTAAGCAACTAATTGCAACATGGAGTGATGGGAGCCCTAAGCCAAACGCAGGTGTTCGCAATACGGGCTGCAAAATAGAATCGCCTGGGAAGCTTTTAAAAGGCTTGACTCTCAGGCCATACTGTAGACGAATTAAATGAGCATTTTTTGAGCTAAGAACTAGACAGGTATTTTTTTTAAACTCCCTACGTTATTTCAATTTAATCTGAGCAGTTAACAAAAATAAATTTCAATATTCAGCCAAGTTTGAAAACTGCTGCCTGCTGCCTGACTTTGTGGCCACAGTAGTTAAACTCATCTAATCAGTTTTCCTCTGGCTCATTCACAAAACAGTTTGTTCACCTGGAAACTTGTGCTCACCTATAATAAGTCATTTGCATTGCCGTGAAGATGAATTTCATTTTGCAAAAATTACCACTAATTAAAAGACAAATATACAACCAAATTCTGATATTTAATGTTACTATTTGAACATGTGTTTCTCATTTCTAAAATCAACTGGTAGGAAGTCAAACTAATATACTTGATAATAGAAAATAATAATTTCTTATTCGATACCTGAAATGTAAGGGATTTCCGTTGAGGAGTCCTCACATGTTGGATGGTGTCGTCATCTACTGGCATAATGTGGTATTGCAGTTCACCGTTAGATCCTGGGGACTCCGAGAGTAAAAATGCCTCTGCCCACAGGGGTTATTTATCACTCACTCCAGTGAGGTATAATTTTTCTGGGTCCAATACTTGAATTCCGCATCCTCCAAGGAGTCTTGGTTCTTACCAAAAGACTAGTACTAGTGACCAAAATATGATATTGTCTCTGAATATGAGAGTTAGTGTTTGATTAAATTGTGTTTTGATGCAGAAAAAAAAAATATTTGTGGGGTAGAGAAATACAGAAAAAAAATTATTTGAGGAAACTTTAAAAGCATTCTGTGGATTAAACTAAAATTTCAAAGAGTTATAAATCCAGAATATTAGGAGACTTTACCGCTCCTGATTTATTTTAATGGTACTGAATAATGAGTGTTATAATCAGCCTATCTGGAGAGATCCTATAACAAGCACTGAGATTTATCTTCCCAATATTCATTAGCCCCTTCCCCTTTACTAACAGTATCCAAATTTTGTTCCAAGAAAAATTATCCTAAGCTACAAAACTCAATGTCTAGCACACCATTGCCTTCAGTTAGGGACCTCTACATGAAACTGTTCTCATTGATGGAATGCCGGTAACAGTCTGCTGGGAATTTCTGGGGAAAAATTTTGCTTCCTGATAAGCATGCAATCTTTCTTCATCCTTTCTGCCAGTAAGGTGGGCAAAGGCAAAATAGGCATCGTGCGGCCATTAAAATAGAAGCCACATGCTAAAGACAGCAAGGTAGGGAGGCAGATGGAGTCTGGACCAACAGTGACTTCATGGACCTAATACAGTAGGTCTGGACTCCATATCTCCCTAAAGAAAGACATTATAGACCGAATTTTGTCCCCACAAAATTTATGTGCTGAAGTCTTAACTCCTCATGTGACTGTACAGGTATTGATCGATTTACCACCTATGCAGCTTACGAGCATTCGACTTTTGGCAGCGCAAACGTTGCCCAGCTTGGGTGTACGACAGTGCGGACCAGCTTCCGGCAGCACTACCATCTCCGCGTGCACCATTTCAAGTGTACATATAGCCTACTCAACTTACGACCAAATCGTGTTACGACCGGTCCGCGTTCCGACCATGGTCGTAAGTCGAGCACTACCTGCATTTGGAGATAGGACCTTTTGGAAGTAATTAAGGTTAAATGGGGTCATGGGGTAAAGCCCTAATCTGATCTGACTGCTTGTCTTAGAAGAAGAAAAAGAGATTGGAGGAACTGAAATGAGCAGCACCTTAATCTTAGACTGCCTAGCCTCCAGAACTGTGAGAAATATATTTCCGTTGTGTAAGTCATCCAGTCTAGAGTATTTAGTTACAGCATCTTACACAGACTAAAAAAAAAAAACAACCTCATCTGGTTAAGCCACTGTAACGGTTTTCTGTTGCTTGCCTGTGCGCTCTCCTCTGATGCAAAATGGGATATCTGAAAATGGAATGTTGCAAGTAAAAGAGACAAAAATACAAAATTTAGAGGAATACAAGGTAGAGAAGTAGACAATTAGGCCTCACTCACTACAAGCTGCAAAGTTGATGACTTTTTTAATGTGGAATTTTTTGTGCTTACTGTAGCCGCAGCATCAAGGAAAGTAATAGAAAAATGTTAAAAGTGTGTGCTTTTTAATTGCTGAGTTTTGCAAAGACCCCCTTAAGAGAAATGAATTCATACTAAAGCTAGTGATTCTGACAGCTAAGAGAGCAAGTGTGGGCCTGTGGCCTGCAATTTAAGACATCTGAGAAGCCTATATGATAAAAGCCTACCAGCTTTGGAAAGAAAACACATTGCTTTCCTACCTCAAACTGAAGCCTTTCATGCCAGAGCTGAAGCAGCAGCCCTAGCAGGGGCTGGTATTGGGTTCCCAGCTCTCTCTTCCAGGCCTCTGCTGGACAAAGGAGGCATACCTGCTGGTAAATACAGATTAAAGGGTGCTGCTTTTCCTCCAAATGTACGATTTCACATTGCTGATGACAGGAGTTACAGGGAAAGACTACGTGTGAAAGATGAAGACCTGTGACCAGGAAACAATATTTCTCAGACCTTAATACTATGACTTCATACAATCTTTGGCTGTGGTTGCTCACAGGTGGCATTGAATAGGCTGAAAGCCTATGATATTTTAGAAGGAACTGTATTTCTTTAGAAAGCCATTTCTAAATACATTTAGAAATAACTGTATTTCTAAAGAAATGCCAGGTCAGTAGAGGAAGAAGGAGGCTGTCGGGTTGCAGATACCAGGGTGGGCAGCAGTGCCAATGGGCTTTGGTCCATAACTCTCCCTGGAAAGGCAGGAAGGCTTTGACATGGAGAGGGAGTGGCTGCCGCCATAGTTTGGAGCTTGAGGGTGCTAGGACTTATCTAAAACTTGTGTACTGAGGAGACTCAGGCGTTGGCCTCCACTCCTAGGCTGAACTCAGCAGACCAACCCATGAGAACTGCTATATTGAAACAAAGAAAAGGATCCATCAGAAAGCAACATCTATTATCTTGAGCATGGCAGTGAGGTATTGGAAACCCTGCTCTCTGAAAAGCAGACTGAAAGGTGACAAAGAAGCTCAAGATGGATGGTGGAGAGAGGTATAACATTCTAGCACCTCAATCTAGAAATTTTAGTAAGAAACAACAGCTTTAATAGAAGACCAAGGATCAGAATTCCCTGAAGATGTTTCATAAGAAAAAAGAAAGAGGACATGATTGAAACTTAGCAGCAGCTGCGTAGCAGGTCATGCAAAATTGTGTGGAGGAGGGAGAATAAAAATTTCCCAGATAATCAAAATTGGAACTCTAGCTTATCAGGTCCCAGATTACTTTTTTTTTCCTTTTTGAGACAGGGTCTGGTTCTGTCACCCACGCTGGAGTGCACTGGGCCATCTTGGTTCACTTCAGCCTCTGCCTCCCAGATTCAAGAGGTTCTCCTGCCTCAGCCTCCTGAGTAGCTGGGACTACAGGTGCCTGCCACCATGCCCGGATTCTTTTGGTATTTTTAATAGAGACATAATTTCACCATGTTGGTCAGGCTGGTTTCAAACTCAAGTGATCCATTCACCTTAGCCTCCCAAAATGCTGGGATTATAGGCGTGAGCCACTGGGCCCAGCCTCAGCGTACTTATTAAATCTCAAGCTAATCAGAACTATGATGGAGCCAAATTTATTGATCTGCCATCACCAAGAGTGCTTCCTAAACCACCATGCCACTTGTTCCTGTTTCCTTTATTCCTTCAGATAAGGAAATAATGATA